TTTGGCTCAGGTTTGACAATGGATATTTGTCCACCTTGCAAGGTTTTTTTTGTTTTGTTTTTTGTAATATTGTAGCATCTTTAACATTTATTAATTGCCTCAAGAAGCTTCAGATATTTATTTTACCTATACTGTATGCTATTAAATTATTTTCATATACTATTGTGGTATATTACTTTAATGTGTAAGAGAAAACACCAGTGCATTGTATCTTCTATTTTAGTTACGAGATTAAACAACAATTCAGATAATATACGTTTTATTTCCAAATTACAAATCAACCTGGGTAATGTATGTAACAAATCCCTGTTTTATATTTTAAAAATAACAATAATAATAAAAATAAAACAAATATTAAAATAAATGTGGGCTAATGCCGTCTGAACTGCTTCTTGAATTTTTCATAATGGAAGTCATCCGTGGCCTTCTCTCCTGGAGGTCTTTTAGGGGCTATGGTCGATATCTTGACACCACCTCCCACTACAGGTTCCACAATTTCCTGCACCTTCTTCTCCTTTTTCTTTGCTGGCCCAGCCTCCTCAAGATTAACTGGAAAGAAAATTATATCTGAAAGCTTTCCAGGGAAAAGTAATTTGCAATAAATGAACTGTTTTACCTGCTTTAATTCCTGCCAGCTGGGAATTAAACTCATGGCAGTCTTGATTTTTACTTAGCTAGTCTTCAGTTTAATTATACAGTCTTTTAATTTGCTATGTACTCTATAACACTAAGCAATGAGTTTCTAAAAGTAGATGTTTTGCTTAATAACAGTTGTTAATAGAATGATTTTTTAATATTGTTTTCCTTCTTTCTTTCTTTTTCTTTTTTGCCTAAGTCATTAGTAATGTAATGGAGTTTGCACAACAGCGTAACTGGATAAGCTTTCATACTTTTGTTTTTCCTCTGAAACTACTGATAGGTATGAGACTATTCCATTTAGTGAGCTTATGCAATAAAGAAAAAAAAAATGGAAGTGTCTCATTCCCCTTCTAGCAAACTGAAACCTATCAAATACTTATATCTTCATTACAATAATACATCCTGACCTTTCCTTGTCAAATACAATTATATAACCTAATGAGTGTCTTATATATTCCTCAAATATTTTCCTCCAATAAAGTCAAAGGGCAAAAGACAAAATTAACACACTGCCTTGCTACCTATGGCTAGTAACAAGGTAATGCACAGAGGATCTTTTAAAATCCTAATCTAAAACCTGTACATAAATTCCTCCTAGGATCACCAACTTACATCTGTTGTGTTGTACAAAGTTGACAGCCATGTTCTTGGAACAAATTCTGAGGGTCGTTCTTTCTTCATCATCCTTTCACGAAGCAGTTTCTGTTTGGCTTCCTCTGTCGCCTCAATGTTCCGGATCTTTGCTTCAAGCCCCAAATCCACCTCGGGAATACCACTCAACATCTTGAGAAAAATGATAATAGTGAATATGTGACAATTTGTTTTATAACCTATGAAAATAAAAAAAACTAACTGAAGGAATTTGTTACTAACCCCTTGACATGCCTTTTCTTTAAAGTGTGTCCTGTCCTAATGTTTTTGCATTAAGATGATTGGGAGTACTAAATTTATTGAACGTACAACATTTGCTTTTTCGTTTTTTTCTTTAATGGAGTACTTTAAGGTCTTAAAAGGTTACATGACTCATATGACATGCAGATACCACCCCACACTTCAAATCTGTTCTTTCCCTTCAAAATTAATGGCATGTAACAGACTCATTATATCATTATCATTATCTCTTGAAACCTCCATGTCCATACACCTGGTTATGCCAATGACTTCAAAGCAAAAACAAATTTAAAAATTAATAAATGACTATAAAATGTGGTCTAACATTAGTGAAAAGGGCTACCAGTTACTGAAATGAAACTACTCTTATATGTGCATACAATATACAACAAACTGTACCAAGAGCATTTAAATATTTTCAATAAAGGGTTCATGAAGTTACTCTAAAGAAAAATTACACATACATGCATTTTATATATATAGAGAAAGAGTGAGAGACAGAGACAGAGAGGAGGGGAGAGGGAGAGAGAGATAAGAGGAGGAGGGGAGGGAGAGGGAGGGCAGACAGACAGAAAGACAGACACAGATAGACAGACAGACAGACAGAAAAGCAGGCAGGCATGCAGCCAGGTTTAAAATGAAAATTAAAAAATATAAGTATGCTAACATAAAGACAAACATTAAAAGAAACCTGCCTGGTTACTCAACATCTCCTCACTCTTCTTTGTTGTCGAAACCCTCAAGATATCTGGGACAGCATGCAGAGCTGCTTCCTCAAGGGTCAGGTGTCTTGGGGTATCATCCTGTTTTTCGACAGATGTAAGTCCCTTACGCTTTGCAAGATTCTCCTCGATGTATTTTTGCCTGTGAGACGAGTTCAATTATTGGAAGAAAATTTATGGAAGCTGATTAATTAACGTAAATACTTCACTGGATACTATCACAGGCCAAGCAACCTCATTACAACTATCAGTCATATTCTTGGGCATCAGCCTACAAAGCCCAATCAGAGCCTGTGACATGATGTAAGCAGTTGGTTTGTTATGAGCAAATTCTTGATTCAAACAGGCTTGCTACAAGAAAAACCTGAAGTGCAATCACATGATATCACACAATGATTACCTGCAACCATCATACTGAAAACTCTACTGGCAGCTACAAGCATTTAAATGCTATATTCATATCCAAAATCAGTGGTTCCCATACTACATATCAAAACAAATTCAGATATACATCCAGTAATTTGACTTCAGTTTGTCTTAAACAATTTGAGATGAAATGAAATGACCTAGTACCAACCAAAGCAAAAGCTGCTACCACCAATAGGAGAACACTGCCACATGCTCTTAGCAAGCCACCAAGAAAGGGGTTTATAGGACCTTCAATTTCTCATGACCCAATTAAATGACTTGCCCAAATTACAAATTTCCAAAGGCTTTCTCCATTCTCAGAGAGTTGAATAACATGTCTGTATGGCCTCAGTGGTAGTCCTAGACCATGTAACAAGTCCTACACTAGTCCTAATATGTCACTGCTGTATATGTAATACAGGTAATTACATCTCATGATCCGGTGCAACAGGTGTCAAGATGAGGCTACAAGGCAGTATAGAGTCCAAGTTTTATATTAGGGCTTTGCCGCTTGGGTCTCCAGACTCAAACAGTTTGCCAACATGATTAGTAACGTCAAAATCAGTGACCCTACATTATCTAGTGCTGCCACCAGGTGCTCTACCTATTTTGGAGTTATATGATCAATAACCTTTGTTTGGATTCTATGATATATCTCAAGGGTCAGAGGGCAGGTTTGATCAGTAGAAGCTAAATCAGTACTACTAGCATAATTGCCAGGCAAACATGACCTAGAATACCATTCATGTCAAAAGGTTTGAGTGGGCTTGGTATGCAAGTGCCAACAAACAAACTTGAATATGAGGTAATGTCCTAAACTGAGTAACATTGTATCTTATTATATTATACCAATATAAAAAAAAAAACATAAATACATTTCTGCATCTTCATCACGTCTGTTAGTTTCTGCTGAGAAGGACGTTCCAATGCCCGTATCATAAGCATCATCAGACGTCTTCTTGGCATTTTTCACTTGGTTCAGGTCCAGCATTCCGCCCGTCTTAGTTTTGAACGGGTCATCCTGTTCAACAAATAAATTCCATCATAAAGACTATTATAAGAAATAAAAAAAAAGTCAAATCTACAAATAATAGATCAAAATAATAGATCAAAATGAGTGTACACAGTATACACATAACTTTTTTAAATGAACTTACATCTGGACCTTCCTTCTTTTCGACCTTTTCCCCAACCAAAAGTCCTTCTGCACTGATACCTCCCTGCCGACGTCTAAATTTTCTCATCTCTTTACTCTCTTCCAATTTTGCTCTGTGGGGCATTATAAAACATATTACTTCATATCATATATTCATTACCAGACCTATTGGTTACACAGTTTAAGAATTTTATAACACCCTGAATTAAATTCCTGGAATTATTTTAAATCTATCTTTAAAATCTGTCTGACTAATTTTACCAAATATAACATATATAAAGTATTTCTCAATTGCCCTGAATAGGATTGCAAACAAGTAAAGAAAAATAAACAGTACTGGCTTATCAATACACCAGATTGAAACTCGCTATAGCTTGCAGACTTTCCTAGCAATTTTTCAATACAAGAGGAAACAGAAGAATGTAAATAGATTGTGAAGGTTTGTTGGCCTTTGACGAAGCACAGAGGCCACTGCGGTCCCTTGATGCGGTTCAATTCAGGACAACTGTCAACTCTTTCACTCTAATTGTTTCCTGACTAGGCTAACAGTCACAAAATGCAAAACAGAATACTTAATTCTCACAATAAAGATTCCTCCTCGCCTGGACTGGGTTCCTCCTCATCATCCGATTCTCTTCTCCGCCTAAAACTCTTGCCTTTTACCTTCTTAAAAGATATCTTTGGCTTCTCTTCGACTTCTTCTTCTTGTCGCGAAGACATGGTGTGTCAGAGAGTCAGATTTAAGGTGAATAAATGAGGAAAAACTAAGAACTTTTACAATTGTTTGCAAACTCGTACTCAATACAACGAGGGAACATAAATGTAATTATTTACAGGAGATAAAATAGCCAAAAGTGCAATGTTAGTATTATAATACTTATAACAATTATCTAATTATTTCACCCGATATTCTTTTTCTATTAATGAACATAATTTTTATGTGGTTATCCTATTTTATATTTACAATCCATTAAAGTTGTTCCTTTAGACAATATATTTTTTATTTGTATTATTCTTTAGGAGCTACAGCCCAATATGAGATACCCTTACCAATCATATTATATATAGATATATTTATTATGTAATATATGTCTTCTTTATCAATGCAATCGCGATAAACATAGTGAAAAATACATAAGATAACTATTTAAAAGAACGATAGGCAACTCTTGTAAAAACGTCAACAAACCATCACATATTTTTAGATTATTGTTGGCTGTTTACTAAAAAATCACACACGGAGAATTTATTTCGTGATATCGTATAAGAAGAAAGTAATAGGAAGCTATAGTCGTACGCAAAATGTCTTTTAAGCCAGAAATCAGCCCGGCATCGTTACTAAACCAGCTAAATGTATGTGAACTTGTTGAGCAAGTAAAACTAATAGATTTGTTTACGTTGGGTAAATGTTTAATAGGCAGCGGGTGTTCTCAAGACAGAGTTTGTAGACCATCCTGGTAATTTATTATTATCATATAAGAAACCAGTCCTAGACTTTTTTTGTTTGTCTGTGTAAAGGTTGAGAAGTATTTTGGCTTTTGCTGGAGCACATACGGGGGTGACTATTTATTCTGTAAGACATCCGCTATAATCTTTCAGCCTTAGATCAGATTGGATTTTACAACAATTTAGAGTGGAGACAATTAGGTCAAAAGAGGTAAAAAAAAAAAAAAAAAAGTATTATTTTCCTTGCTAATACAAGCAGAAGGAAAAAGCCAATTTTAAAGTTGCTTCAGAAGTCTACTAAATTTTACCATCGCCATTGTTGTTCTTGCCAGGACTGCTTTGCGTGAAATTATGATCAAAGATTATATGTTTCATTCAAAATAAAATATTATTGTCATTCATATTCTTATTCTTTATTCATTATTTCTTCTTTTGCTTTACTATTCTTTTCTCTTCTTTCTTTTTCTTTTCTTTCTCTTTTATTTTCTTTCTCTTTCTCTTTCTCTTTCTCTTTTCTTTTCTTTTCTTTCTTTGTCTTTCTTTTCTTTTTCTTCTTTTTTTTAATTCTTATTCTTATTTTTATTCTTATTTGTATTCTTGATGATGATAATAATTTTGTTATTGCTAGACTACAAATAGTTTTTATATAACCACCACTTTTCTCTTTAGAGTCATGCCTACATCACCATTTATTACTGAACCAATTTTGTACATTTAAGTTAGTACTACTAGTTATAACTGCTAGTTATAAGTACTTGATATTATTGTACTAACTTTTTGTTGTTATTACCAGTGTTACCATTAATAATTCCAGTAATGCTGCTCATAATCTTTACTTATATTCCTACTCATAATTATATGAAGTAATGAACTATGAACATTTTCAGTAAATATAGATTTTTTTACAATTTAGGATCGACGGTGACAGAACTTTTGGCAGAGCATATCCCGGAAGATGAAGCAAAACTCTTAAGCAATGGAAGGTCAGTTCATTACTTTACAGGAGATTAAATATTGCACATAATACTTTTGGTAAACTAAATATTTTTCATTAAAAGTTTTTAACTTAAAGTCTAGTCTGTTTGCTTTTTGACTAATTTATATAAAGTAAATATATTCACAGTAAAAGAATCATCCTATGAAAATGCATAATTATATCAGCATTCAATATCATAGATATTTTAACTTCACCTTATGCTCATTTTGACATTTTGACCTTTTTTCAGATATACATGCTTAGTGTGCCATGACAGACCAGTAGTTGATACTTTGGCAATTTTATCTCAGCATCGTGTTGGAAAAAAACATAGATTATGTAAGTTGTATCAGAAAAGAGAAAAAAAAATTATTTCCTCTCCAGTTATATTTTCATAAGATAGTACCTTCTATACAAGTTTGCTTATAAGACCTTATAGCTTGGACTTAATTTATAGGACCAAAGACATGTTTATAAATAGGGATATAAAAAGATAAAAAAGCTTTGATACATATAAAGGAATACCTGCATTTTACCTTTGAAGGCTAAAATTTGAAATCAGAGACAAGTAACCAAACCAAATCTCAGTGTATATCATTTTAAAAATTAGTTATAAGTAAAACTGATTCTTACATTTATTTTTAAAAATATCTTTTTGAGCCAATCAGGAAATATGAGTCCCTTTCAGAGTGTAAAAATTGTTTTTTAATTTCCTTCTGAAATTGAATATTTGAATAAGATGAAATCCACTTTTGCTAAGTTATAGTGATACTTAGGATAATATCACTACGCCAAAATAACATGATAATATTCTGATGTATTCTTCAACATACAATCTATAATGCTTCCATGGTGTTTTTAAAGTTGTTTCCAATTCCTTTCAGATCTTGCTAAGTTCATGGAGAGAAAGGAAGAGACAGAAAGGCTTATTTTAAAGCGCAAACAGGAAACTTATTTGTTAAATGGGACAACAGACAGTGGAGACACGTTACATCCTGATAGAGTTCTTGGCCAAGCAACTGCTCGGTAAAGTTTTGACTTTTACATTTAATTTTTGTGATTTCATTTATATGATATATTCATTTTATATTCTTTAGAATGGAAAAATATATCTGTATATATAAAGATGTAAAGTTCCTTCATTTCAGAGGCCTGTTAAAGACATCTTCAACATATGATGGGAAAAGTAAGACAAAATATAAACCATACAGTCGAAAAGTAGTTCTTGAGTTTGATAGACAAGGTAAATTTTTCTTCTTTCTTTTATAATTAAATGTAACATTTGTTATGAGACATATTTTACTTATGGTATATATAAATATAAAATCACTTTTATTTCACGTTAATAACAAGAATATACATTTAATAAAACTTAATCACGCTTCCCTTTCAGAAAAAAACAGTACAGAAAAGATGGATAATCCAAGAGAACCAGCAAATCCCAAAACACAAGTCAACAAATACATTCGTCAGTCACAAAAAAAAGAGATTTCACTGATGTTGTGGAAGCCAAGAGAAAGTTAACAGTTACTCCCTGTAATAGTGATTCCACTTACACACCTAAACTAGAGACTCCAAAAAATATTCAAAGTGACAAACCTGAGACTTCTTCAAAAGTGCTCGAGCCAAAGGAAATTGACCAGAGAACCAAATATTACCAGAATTTGAGAGCGTCAGGGTGGAAGAAGGATTTATTGGGGAATTGGGTCAGAGATGATGATGCAGAGTTTGACAGTGATGAAGAACCTCCGGAGGAATATGAAGTTAAAGTGAAGTGAAGCAAGGATAATATGCATTCATTCATAACAGGTTTTTCATTTTCATATGACCAGTCCATCATATTTTATATTTTATATAGATATGTGAAAATATAAGAAACCTACCAAGATTTTTTTGTGTTTATTTAACCAACAATTTAAGATGCTTAAACACTTTTAGATAACAAATTAGGGAAAAATTAAGTGAATAGACTAATGAATAAGTGAACAATCATTTGGTCTGTTTATGTATATGTTTCCTACTCGTCTCTAATCACAAAAAAGTAATTAGTTTCCATTGCATATTCTGACATTCCTTAATATCACATACTGTATTACCTTTATCCTGGCTATATCATTTTCTAGTTTGGAAGCAGAAATGCACTAAAAGATACAACATTTATAACCCTTATCAATTCATTCATGTTACTCTTCATTTCATTATAAGGGTTAATGGTTAAAACAAATAAATCAAAGGTCATAAAACACTATGGTAAAGCATTATGACAAAAAGGGTAAAAATGACTTGATGATTAGGATAAAATGTGTTACATGTCAAATATGATTTCATTATAAGTATTGATGTAAGATTTATGTAATTTTTTTATTGGTAAACACTACTTTTTACTTTTCCTATAAAAATCATTGCAATATTCATCATTGATCTTACTGAAGGGCATCACTGTAATTAGCTTAACAGTTATCTTTATCATCAATATCTTATAATTATCATAGCCAGTATCAACTTTCCCTCATTTTACAATTATTATTATTATTATGATATATTAAAGTTCAAGCAATTTGTATTATTTTCTTACCAGTTATTCTTTGTGGTTCAAAAAACATATGCTTTTGCATCAAAATCTCCTGCATAGTTCCAACAAAGTATAAACCCATCCAAATAACTCAAGGTTCAGGTAATGTAAACAAAGGCGTAGATGGAAAAATAACTTTATTTTAAACTAAAAGGACACTTTAACTGTAAGCTCAATGTGAAGATACTATGCATATTTTAAAAATCAGAATAACAACTTCACACTTCACAAAATTCTCAAGTAAAGTATTGATCATGTGACCAAGAACAGTGGATAGGATAGTAAGTACTCCTTAATAATAAATGGCAAACTTATATCATGACTATAATGATAAAAAGATGGGTCCAGTGCTGAAATAAAACAAAGGTAAAACTATCCCCACCAAGCTTTTCTTTTCCTTTTCTCCTTATAACAGAACACTTGTGTTACAATATAATTGGAAAAATATAAGTTACATATTTTTTTTTTTTCCAAATTACATATACATATATAAGGTGACATACTTTATTCCAGTATTTTTGAATGAATAGCAACTCCATTGTGAAATACTAAAATAAGGTTCTTTTATCTAACATAGCAACTGTATATTTACTTTTATATCTTTCAATGTATTAATCAATGTTTTCTTTCTTTAGAAAATAAAAGTGATAAAGGAAAATATACAATATTTCTACTCTGGCATTTCCATACTGTAAACAAATCTTTAAATGTATGAGGTTTTCAAAATAATATTAAATGACTTTTCTATGATATATTACTATCCTTTATCTCCTACTTACATGGTTCTGTGTAGTATATATATATATATGCTTAGGTACCTATAAATTATACACTCAGCTTTATTATCTTTTCTATTGAGGTAAGAGAATGTTTTTTATTATTATTATACACATTTTTATCATGCTCACTATCTTATATACAAGAATCTCTGGATAACAGGTATTGATTAATGCTAAAACTTAAATTTTGTTAGTAATCTCTTCTTCATAATAAGTGACTCCGGAAACTTGCAATATTTCAGATGTCTCAAATGGAAAAAAAAATCCTGTATACATCTTTATCACAGATTATTTGTATAAATCATAAAAACGAGAAAAAATCCTCACTGACTATTTTCTGTGAAACTTACTTGCAGAATTGGAATTATCTATCTGAATGAACAGTACTATTTCATTTTAAACCTTTACTTTTCTTTATAAATAGTTCACTGTTAACATTGCTGGTATCACACTTCCTGCAATGTTAAAACATGCTCATAATAGTATCTGTACTAGTAAATCACATACCGCATTTGCATGCCTACCCAAAACAGATAGCACTCACTGGGGCATAACACATCCTAATGTTTCCATTAGGGAGATATGATTACATAATAAATATTTTTAGGATATACTTTTGATTAGAAAAGCAATGCAAATATATATAGTTTCTGTATAAAACTTATCTCAAAATTGGCTTTCCCTTAGAAAAATACATCTTTTTCATAGTTTCAACATAAATGGGCAACTTAACACCCAATATTACATATTTCATAACAGAAGATCAATGCTACATATTGTAAGAGTATCATGCAGATCCAAATTGGTATCTGAATAAAACATTTGTCATGAACTAAGTAAAGTATAGTAATATTTGAGTGGAGAATGCTTTCCAAATTGAAATGTGACAAAAACATTTCCTACACTGGGTGTACAATGTATGAGTAATAGTAGACTTTGCTTTTAGCAGCATGGACACCCTGGCAAACAATTACAGTACCAGTATCGAAAATGCTCTCACCTGTACATCTTTTCATTGATGTGATAAAAATAAAAATAACCACTATGAGATCACTTCCTTCAAAAATATCCCGTTACTAGAATAATCAACATGTCTGGAAGTCAGTGACATGTTTATCATATAACCTGTAAAGAAGTTTTCCACTTACTCATATGGGTGCAGTGGAATGACCAGCTTAGCTCCGAATGGTGAGACGTACTTAATTCCCACAGCATTGAAGGTCTGCTGGGGGATGGGTACATTTATAAGGTAGACTTTGCCCCTTGCTGGATTATAAGCAAGGGGAAGGGATGGACAGAGCAAGACTCGAGCTAGAAGGGGCGGCTGGGTGGATGGGATGGCAGCCAAGTCACTGGGTGGGTCTAGAGCAAGAATTGGAGCTCGGGAATTTGAGGCCCACCTTGTTGTTGAAGTGAGCCAGGTATGCCCAGAGCCTCCCTCTCCTGCTCTCCCACTATGGTCCAGTCTGGCATCCACAATCAGATCAACAGTGGCCGGAATGCCACCTGGATCAGAAGCAGTGCGGCCTGAAGTGAGGGCATACAGCTGCAACTCATGGGTGAGCAGCAGAGACGGTGGGGGTGAAGTGGGCAGCTGTGGTGTGACGACGACAGTCCTGACACCATGACTCTCCAACTGCCTGGCTGCATTCACTCCTGCAGCTCCTTGCACATGACAGCCACACAGCAACACTACAACAGGTGGCTGATGGCTATTGCCTGGTCCTAGCCTGGGATAACACAGACTGTTAGTGAATGTGTTTATGAAAACAAATCATAAGTTCCTGGTGCAGCTTACAAAGTAGTGGTCCTCAAGAAGAAAAGAGTGGCCTGTGGTGCCTCAAAAAAATACAAAAAGCAAATTTTTTAAAATCCTAAAATTTCCCATAAGGTCAAATGAACAAGCATTACAGTTTTAAGGAATATTAGTGATATGAATTGTCAAAATAAGTCAATAATTCATTGGTGAATAAACTGGATGCAGAAGCCAGAAGCAGACTATTTATGCTCAAATTTAGTTAATTAAAACAATATACAGTTCAACTTCCCATCTTCCAAATTAGTAAGTAACAGATGACTCTCTTTCCCTTCTCTTACACTACAAATTTTCATAATCTTTATCATTCTCCTTAAAAAATTATTGGAAAAGGTTAACTCCTACATTAATAAGTCAGCCATAATATCAAAAGCAAGCATCCTTTCAACTTATTTCAACTTTCAACTGTATTTAAACCTCTTCAATTTCATTAGTATGTAAGCCCTTCTATAAAAATAAAAAAAACAAATAATAAATACATTAAAAAATCATCACTTAAGTATGTCAATCATACCTGGGACAGTTTTAGGTTTCCAGAAACAATTGCACAAATATCCTAGAAATGCCGCACGTACCTATGATTGCCTCCACTCAAAGAAAGAATGACCTCTGTGGCAGCCGTCCGATGATCTCCAGTTGACGTGAGTGAGTGAGGCCATGCTGGTTGGCCGTAGATAAGAGTTCAGCCCGTAATTCACTGCTCACAGAAGGTACCAGCAGTCCACAATCTGCATTTGTTATATAAATTTGTGAAGTCATCCATGCGAAACTGAGAATTACATATATCCAAGCTTATGTCATATGTTCAGATACCTATAGAACCACGCAAAAAGCAGGCTTCTTTCCTTTTCTCTATAACAAATCTGCTTAGAAAAACCATACCATTTGCATAGATAACTTCTGCAGCTCCGGAAGTAGGAACAGTTATTCTTTTTGCTGGGCTTTCGATGGCAGCACATTCTCATCACATCTATATTTCTTTTCTGTATATCTATCTGCCTGACGAACCACATCTGGCTTGAGACTCTGTATTTCTTCTATCACAGCCTGTGTATTAGAGATACATGTTAAAATATCTTTAATATATCTATATGC